TTCTTTGTTCTAGATGAAAAATGTCATAATCACATGATCCACTACTTTTTGCATAGATGTGTTAAGAATTTTGACAGCCTGACCCTGCCTCAGCAGGCTTCATGCCAGAACAGGGTTTCCTCTGGCCTGACCTTATTTTATACTGGATCATGTATGGCGTGTCCTCTAGCACCTGCTTAAAGCATATAAGCATAAAGCTGGCAGAATGCATGAAGCTGGCACAAGCCCTACATCACATGCTTGTGCCTGATCCAGATGAAATGGGAACTACTGGGTGAACTAGTAGCATTTAGTCAGAGTATGAATGGTTGTTCAACCACCGTCTGGGAGTTCTGCCATTGACTGCCAGGGGCCCTAAATTTCAACCCACTCATTTCATGTGTTTAAAATTTAACACATGAATCAAAGTCAAGTTCAGTAAAGTACGAAGAAATGCGACAATTTCTTCCTGTCTTCTATTTTGCCAGTCAAACCAGATTATCAACAAAACAAACACCAATTTTTCAATCACTTTTCAATGCCTATTAAATAAACTACACAACTGATCAAAGAACATATAAATCATTAGTGCTAACAATGCCATACTATTTAATCTTTAAAGAAACAGAATACAACATTATTAACAATACGAGAATAGAACTGCATAGTAAATACATGAAATTGTACTGTGTTTTAGCCAATGATACGTTATTTAACCCTGGCTCTTTTAACTTGAATTATCTTATCACCAGAGTCTCTAAAGACCTTAAGCACGTATGTAAGTATATTCCAGATTATGGATGACTTTTTGTATCCTCCTTTTGCAAAATTAATGAAATGTTATACTGACTATTATTTATTCTCATTTGTGTGGTGTACAGATTGTACTTAGAAATTATCTAGTACCTGAAAAATTTTTTTGAACATTAACAATATTATCAGTTAAACTCACCCTATTTATTTTTTTGTGGAAGTGCTCCCACAACAAACTATTAGAAAAAATTGGCTCTTAAATTCAAGCTAATGAAATATGAAACCTAAGCTTCACTGGGCATTATGAAAAGGATTAAACTACCCTGTCTTTGCCTATACTCAAATTCAAAAAAGGGCATACATCCTCTGAAAAATGTCACACTTGGTTCCCAAGAATCCCACAGGGATATATACTGTTGGTAGAGCAGATGTAGCAAGGACAACCTAAGAGATCGACAGTCCAACCTGAGCTCTCCCCAGGGAGCTGCATTTTCCCCTTAGGTAATAGGAAAGATCTGCACCATCATGTAGTGTTCTCCAGCCACATCAAGGCTACACCTAGCCCTGAAGCTACAGTAACCGGCAACTACTGAGGACATAGTCCAAAATACCCAGCTTCTTCAAGGCAAAAAACCTTCTGTCCTCTGGTCTTTACAAAATGCAAAAGCTCTAAAAGAACACTACCTGGATTTTCAACTGATACTGGGGTGGGATAAAGTTCACCTAAAACATAGATACCTTCACATAGGCTGGAGATCTAAACTAGTCACCGCACTCAGTGAGGTCCAGATATCTAGTTAGCTGGCCAAGTGCTGGTGTTGGCTTTACGATGAGGTGTGCTGCTCTCTCAGCTCCACTGACTGTACTGACTGCATCTTCACAAACTACAGCAGGAGTTTAGACACCGAGTTCACATGCAGACAGCAGCGTGTAGGCTGTGACAATTTTATGTTGGAATCAGAACCCATATAGTCCCATGTTCAGTGTTTTCGATGCATTTCTGTTTATTTTTGATCAACGTTGCTATAATTCTTATTTTTGTCAATCTGATGTGGCAAACCCATAATATTTTCTGTGAAATGGAGGAAGAAATGAGGAGTGTGAGGGTAAAAATAAATCCAGAAGAAACAAAAAATTTGCAAAATACCTGCAAAGTCACCAAGGCATATGTACAAAATATAATCTCAGCAAACACTATGTTATGTTAGCAACCAGATGCATACTTCTTTTCTAATTCTGGAATGAAGAAGTCTTTTACAAATTTTTGAGAAGTATCTTCAACATACAAAAAGAGCTAAAATGGAGATGTTTCTACCCCAACCCAAACAGAGCTATTATTACATGACCCGATGTTGATGGGGTTTTTGCCAGCGGTAACATTTTGTCATTAAAAGCTAATAGGTTAAATACCACTCTAGAAATGTCTTTAGTGAGCAGCAAAGGCCTATTTCTCTGAACCAACGAAAAGAATATGCACTAGAAGTCATTATAGAGCCTGGATATGCAATACAGTAATTTCATGCCTTGCATCTGTAAGTCTCCCAAATGCCATTACTCTGTGCTAAATTAATATAGGCTGATTTAATCAAATGAAAGCACTGGATAACTAATATAAACTAAAATTTCCTGAATCATTATTTTCTATCTTCCAAAACCTAAAAGCTTATGCTGATTTTACTGGCTAATTGTAACTGGCAGATCATTTGCAGAATAGCAAAAGCAAACCACTTCAGGATGAGTACAATAAATATAATGTATTATCTATTCGTGTATTCATTTGTGATCCTTAACTCACAAAAATACTCTCCTAAGGGAATTGATTTCTCAGGTCAAGTTTCTTTATGACCATGACTTGTTGACCATGACATATTAGGACATATATTCATGTAAAAACTAGAAAAAACAAAAGCAATACAGACTCAAATAGTAAGCTTTTAAGTAGGATATTTGGAGTTTGCCTGAAATTTTCAGCATTATTATTTTTCTTTAGTTATTTTCTACAGGCAGGGCTAGGTCATAGTGTTATTTGCACCTGAAGAATTTCTTTGAAAGCACTTGGGTTACTATAGAACCACAAAGAAAAAATTAGCCCATTATCAATAAATTTGGTCTTTTGTTTTATAAACACAGTTCATATGCAGACATAAATTCTCCTCATTTTACTCAGACAAATACATTTCAATAAGCTTTCTATTGTCTGTATGACCAAGTCGGAATCAGTTTGCCAAGCAAACTGAGTAAAGAAGATATCTGTATTTATAAGCCTGGGTGTCCAAAGGTGGTTAGTTTACAATCCAGCGGATTCAGCCATGAGGTCCTTACTATTCCATCCATGGAGCAGCCCAGAGTTCATTCTCTGTGGATGTTCCCAAAAGCCTTGGCACCCCTCTGAGAGGTAATAAGGGGAAAATCGAACCTAGCTTTTTCAAAACCTGTTTACTGAATATCCATGAGGCCCAGCCATCAAAACAACTTACAAATATACAGCCACTGACACGCATATTTTTGGAGTTTGGAAGAAAGATAATGCCTAGCACAACTGGTGAAGGCTCTGGTTTTAGCACCTAGATTCTTCTTGATTGATTATGTCATATTACATATACAAGAGAAGTTACAGCAGAGAGATTAGTGGTCCTTTCTGGCGCATCAGGTATGCCTACGAATTAAAGCAAAGCCGGCGAGGTAGTGCCTGCTGACCTACTTCTGCTAGTACAGGATGGCACCACAGACTGCAGCCATGTGCTAGCCCTCCAGAGATCCCCTGCACATAGCACAGCTGTGAGCAAGTCCTGTTGTCAGCAAATCCAACACAATCATGCTTTTGAAGCTAAAGTACCATGGGATAGCGACCATAATGCAGGCAGACTATGCTTCTCATTTCTCTTCCTTTGTAAATGTCTTTAGATGTACAGGAAGTTACAAGTTCCCGGTAATAAACCCACCTTTCTTTGGTGTTTTTCTAATTTTTTGGGATGTGTGTTGAAGCTTTGGCTTCCAGCAGCTGCACTGCAAACTCAAGAATTCTTGCTTTAGAACTAGTCTCTAGCACTAAAAATTAAATAAACACTCCTAAAAGTGACATATTTCTATACATGTATTTTACAGGACAGAAATCCCAAACGCAAATTCTGGTTTTGCTAACACTGACTAAACAAATGACAGAATCAATCTCCAGCACAGAAAGTCCTCTTGTCTACATTCCATTAAAGGTCCTTTCCTTAAATGCCTACTGGAGCATCAAGGAGAGGAAAAAGGATTAATAATTATTGCTTTGATGTTGAAAATAGCTTATATAAAGGAATCTGTAAACCTCTTAGTAAGGGTATGTCTGTCTTTCTTATGATGATTGCTTGTCTTTTTAAATCCTTTCTGGCCTCAATGCAGTAAAATACTTAAGCACAGTACTTAATGTAAAGCACAGCCTCAATTTCCACTGGATCTGAAGTGTGCTTTTGGGTGATTTACTGAGTCATAGCCTGTATCATTAATGTTTCCTTTCAAATTAAACATTTTTCCAGAGAAAAAGAAAGCAGAAAACTCAAGAAGATTGTCTAAAGTTTATCCCACCGAAAGGAAGGAACAGCGATGAAGGTATCAAAACTTATAGTTACCAAAGCACTGAATGTATCTGAATACTCTAGAGGCCTCCGTCTCAGGACATTCACCTAACATTCCTAGTCCAGGTTTACAAAGCTCAATTCTGAAGAGTGGTGAAAAAAAGTAAAGCCAAAATTCAACCCTTATAAAAAAGACAAAATTAATCCACACTAAACTGGCGATCAGTCTGTCAATAGCAGATGAAGTCTCTGATGGGAGTTTGCTTCTTTTCAGTTTTGCCTCCTAGGATTTACTACCAAACACATGTAACCCACACTGTCATTTTCCAAGCAACTTCTTGCTACGCATCACCCCCCAAAAAAAAGGAAAATACAAGTGGATAACAAAGAGGCAGCGAATTAAAGAGGATGCAAAAAATAAATGTCAGATCCACTCACAGATACAAACAGATGTGAGCCAGAGACTTTAGTGGAGTAATGTCAATTTACACCTAGTAAAGCCTGGCCAAAAATATTTCCATAAAAAAGGAATGTATGACTCATGAGCCAACAAAATCATCACAGTGCAAATCATTAAGTCACTATCACATGATGAGAGTGGAAGCATAATGGTTATTAAAATGACTTTCACTTAAATGGCTTCAGTTTTAACAAGGCTTAATGCATGTCTTCACAGGAGCTTTGCAATGTGAGGACAACCCACGTTCTTACCTGAGCTTTTATTGGTTTTGTTTTGTCTACTCTTTACTTGCTCAGTCCATAATGTAGGATAACGAGAAGCTATATCTAGAAAAAAAACAACAGGACAAAGTTTGTAAATGTTACAATTTTTTTTAAGGTTACTAGCAGCTGAATGGGAAGCAGCTAGTTTTAAAGATAAATGGATCTAAAAAAGAAAAGGGCACACTGGTTTCTATTAGGACAGTTAAATTCTTTATTCATGCAAAAGCATGAACAGTTCCTTCCTTATCCCATTCATACAAAAGATTCAAATAAATACTTGCTGACCAAATTATGTTAAATTGGAATAAAAATCTCCCAGTGTTGACCCAAAATATGTAATAACTTCAGATCAGATTCTGTGAGATTTGCAGTGAGTGGTAAGACAGCCACAATATAGGACCATCATTGCGTGTAGACCTTCAGCTCTCAATTTACAGAGCACTGAATTTCCCCAGAGGCAAATAAGCCTGACGAAACATCAGCCTTAACATTACTAGGCAATACGCTGAGGACAGAATTCACCCTTTAACTTCCTTATTTGGCCATACAGTTTTAATCTACACTCTGGCTCAAGTTTAAAACCTGTCCGTGCCCTGAGTAGTGACAATTAAAATTGCTAAGGTCAGACTCCATAGCTACAGCACCATCTCAAAACTATCGCAGAAAATTCGTTGCTTGTAAGTAAAGACTCTATTGTGTTTGCTGTCTTTATCTGGAAAAAGGTACAGATGCTTTCAATTTCTTGCAATTTCTTGCAACTGCTCCAGAAATTGCCCTAACTCTAAGGCAGCATTTGACATTGTGGTATATGGTCCATA